AATGGGTGTATAAGCAAATATGGTAAAGAAAACTGATGGAGCCCAGCTATCAAAAGATAAAGCGTCTAGGGTCTTTAAGACCCTAGACTTGAAGGTAAACAAGCGGCCATCTAGCAGGGAAGCAACAAAGCTCACATGGAAGAAGCACACCAGTCTGTGTGATCATGAGGTGCCGAAGGGATCAGGTATGGGGCATCAAGGAACAAAAATCATATCATTGTCAATGAGGGGGAGTACAGATGGGGGACCCAAAGCCCATCTGTGGGCAACTGGACATCCCCTTACAGAAGGGTCTCGGGGAGGAGATGAGCCAGTCAGGGTGCAGTGCAGCAATAATGAAACATATAATTTTCCTCTAGTTCTTAAATGCTTCTTCCCCCCACATACAATCATGATCCCAATTCTGTCTTACAAATCTGGAAAACCAGAGGATGTACATTGGTACAGATAGGAACTGGAAACACAGGGAATCCAGGACAGATGAACCCCTTAGGACCAGTGTGAGAGTGGCAATACTGGGAGGGTGGAGGAAGAGTGGTGTAGAAAGGGGGAACTGATTACAAGAATCTACATATAACTTCCTCCCTGGGGAACGGACAACAGGAAAGTGGGTGAAGAGCGACATCAGACAGTGTAATATATGACAAAATAATAATTTATAAATTATCAAGGGTTCACGACGGAGGAGGGAACATGGAGGGAGGGGAAAAAATGAGCTGATACCAAGAGCTCAAGTAGAAAGCAAATGTTTTGAGAATTATGATGACAACAAATGTACAAATGTGCTTGACACAGTGGATGGAAGGATGGATGGATTGTGATAAGAGTTGTACGAGTCCCAATAAAATTATATATATTTTTTTTTCCCTAAAAAAAAAAGAGAATTTGATATATGTCACTCTGTTGTCTTCTTGCCTGTATGGTGTCTGCTGAGAAACCCAAGCTTCCCCTTTTAGATTTTCTTTTCTAAGTGACTTATTTTTTTGTTTTGTTTTGTTTTTAGCTGTAGCTGCTCTCAAGACTTGCTCCTTTTTCTTGAAATTGGAGGATTTGATTACAATGTGCTGTGATTTTTTTTGGGGGGGTGGGGGGTTCTATTCTGTTTGCGGCTCCAGTTTTCTTAAATAGTTGTTTTTCTCCTTTTCAATGTTGGAAAAATTTTCTTCTATGATTTCTCATAGTATATTTTATCTATAGATTTTTGTTTCTTGTTTGGGTATCCTGCTGAAACATGCATTATTTCTCTTGATACCATCTCATATCATTCTTAGGTTCTCTTTGAATTAATTTGCTTTTTTTGTTGTTGATCTCTCATCGGTTATAGTCAGAGTGACTGTCTTTGAGCTTACTGATGTGATTTTCCTTTTCTTCCATTCTGTTACTCATGTTGTCTAATTTTGATATCTTAACTGTTTATATTCTGGGATTCCTTTTGGTATAAGGTTTCTAGGTTTTCAATTCCTTTGGTTGTTCTCTTGAGTATTTCTACTCTCTCTTAAGGTGACCTACACCTTATTCATCTGTATTCCATTTATGGCTATTTCTGGGCTCTTTTCAGAGTATTCCATTGGAATTTCAGTGACTTTGGTTCTTTGTGTTTCATTTCTGTGGCTGCACTGGGGTTGACTGCTGCTTCCGAGACATGCTTGTGTACCTATCAGTGGTGTGTGGGCTATTGGGTCTTGCAGCCTAGTTAGCTCTGTCCAGTGTGGAGGAGATCTAATGGGAGTAAGAAAACAAAATGAGGAAATGAAGAAAAAGGGAGTGATACTGGCAACTGAGGAAGGCGGGCAGTGGGGGGACAGTAATAAAACAAAAGTCGCATTGAGGCCATCTGAATAGACCAAAAGATTTGTAAAATAACGGGAAAATTTATGTTAAGTAAGGTAATAAGAATTAGTATATATCATGGAAATATATTTTATGAGGAAAAGGAGAGAACACAAAAAAGACGGGAGAATAGTGTAAGCAAATAAGGAGGCCAGAAGAAGGTGTGTGTGTGTGTGTGTGTGTGTGTGTGTGTGTGTGTGTGTGTGTGTTTAAAAGAAGTAGAAATAAGCAAGCAAAAGGAGAATGAAGGAATAATGGAGTTAGGGAGACAATATAAAAGAAGAAAGAAAAACACAAGGAGGAAAAAATGTCAATGTGCCGAGAAGAGAAGGAAAAACAAAAAAACGTAGACTGGGTATGGAGCTACATTTCTGTTGCCATGGCAGCATGAATGTGGGCAAGTCTGCAGTCACGATAAAAGGGAAAAAATTCTGGCTTAAACAAAATAACCCTGGTTTGGTTGGGTGTGCCTGGATCTCTGAGGCTGCCTATTTTTGCCAGGGAGACATGCATATTCACAGGAGTATAGGATTACACAGGAAGAGGAAGTGGGAGAGAATTAGGGGGAAAAAAGAATTAAAATATTAAAATAGATTAAAGATACAAGAACCATAGGAAAAAAAATAAGATAAAAATAAAACTGCTATTTGAGTAGTGATTCCTTGACCTTTGACAATGTTATTGTGTGTACACATCTGCTGCAAGGGGGAAGGAAGGGAGCGTGTAGGGGAGGGGTACATAAGAAAGGAGGAAAAATGGCCAAAATCATCCCTTGGGTAGTGAGGATGTCTTCAGCATGCTGCCCACATGGTCTGCTAACCACATAGGCCTTGCAGAGGCCATGAGGGTAAGAGGCAGGGAAGGGTCAGCCTATACAGAAGAGTGCACAGCAGAGCCGTAGGCTGCTGCTCAGTGGTGAAGGGGAATCAGTCAGTAGGCATTGCTGCTCTCTAACTTTAAAAAACGTTGATGGACTGCACTTTTCAGTTCTTTTTCTAGCTTTCAGAGAGTGCAGGACTCCCTCCTGTCGGGACCTCTCTGGTAGTGGCTGGGAAGATATTCCTATGCTTGTTACCCGGCCGCCATTTTCCCTTGAATCCCCTCCCACAAACCTGTTGACTCCCCATTGTATATCCGTATAGGTCATGTTCAGTATATCTCTCTTTGTGATGTGGAATTCCCATTACATATAGTATTAACATGAAGGTAGCCCTTTGCCTACCTATTCTCTCTACTTTTATATAAATCTTCTTTATTAATTATTTATATTATTATATCTATGTCATTTATTGGAGGTATATGTCTGGAGACATTCCCTAAATGCAAATTTAAGAATTCATAAATGTTTGTATTTGAACTCCCTTTCTTATGCAAATTCTAATCCCAATTAACTCAATGGCAGTACATTTGGTGGGTTTTGGTTGTTACATAAATGAGCCCCAGCAGCACAGTGGTTAACCACTTGGTTGCTAACCCATGGTAATTTGAATCCATGAGCCATACAACATAGAAAGAAAGAGCACTCTACATTATAGCCTCACTAGGGTGCCCATTTGCCACCTTGCTTTCCACCATGGGTCTCATCACAAATTCTCAATAACCCTAACTAACCCCCATGGGCTAGTCATGCAATAGGTTCAGGTTGTGCACAGTTCTTTAAACTTCAGACCAGCCAACCCACTCCTCTCGAGTCCCTGGGAGCCAAGCCCATGGTGTTAGTGGGCAGACTCACCCTGTCTCTCTCACTGCTTTTCTCCCACTTCCACTCAACAAGTGGATCCAGGTGATCACCTGTTGAGCACTTCAGGCTTCCCACAGGCTACCTTTAATGTTTAATCATAGAGAGGCAAGTTCTTTCATGACTCCAAATTTTTCCAGCTTCAGGAGCAAACCTCCAATTCAAAATTCTAAAAGACCAAATGGCTCCTTTTTTTTTTTCATTCTGCCACCTGATCTCAGCAAGTCTTCAAAAGCAAATGTCCTAAGCACTCAAAGCACTGGGTGGGGCTTACCTTTTCTAAGCATTTTTTGCAGCATGTCCTAAACCTATTTAACAGACCTAGTTTAATGGTGAAGGCAACAGACTTATAAAACGCTCTATTCTTCCCAATAATCATTTCTATCACACATTATAGCATCCTAGTATAGCCAGATCTTAAATTCATTCTTAAAACCATCAAATTCAATCCTTTCTTATCTCAGTTATCCCATTCGTATACATTATGGCCTTAGGTCTCTGGCTTGATCAAGCCAGGGCCAGGCCTTCTGTCCGCCACTTTGACTAAGCAGCAAGGCCTCAAAGAAGTTCAAGGGGCATTTTCTCCCTCTGAGCCCAAAATTCACATTTATCACACTCATGTTCACTATTTCAGACAGAAATAACCAAGAATAACATCTAGTAATCAAAACCTTCACTTCCTATGTTCTTTCCAGAAAACGACCCAGCAAACTGCATGGCCATATCTGACCTCTGGCTAGCCAAAGAAGAAAAACTTATAGGGCAGAGGTTAGACAACGTCCACTCTCCATCTTCATGATTTGTTTATCTAGTACCCCACTCCCAAGGTACCGTAATGTGTTAGGGCAGCTTGACTAGAGAAACAAAGCCAGTGGCACTCGTGTTTGTAAGAAAGAGCTTCATATATCAAGAAGCTTTACACATCAGGAAAATATCCAGGTCAGGTCCAATAAGTCCCTCTTCTCACGCATATAGCCACATGCAATGATGCAGAATGCAGGAAGATCACAGGCTGGTGGGTGCAAGGTCGTGTGGATCCAATAGCACAGTTCATCCCAGGGCCCTGGCAGGTCTTAGCGCAGCTCACCAGCAGGAAGGTGAAGGCAAAGAGAAAGTGGGGCCGGCCTCCAGAGAGCCATTGATCTTGATTACACCTCCGAAGGAGGTCATCAAGCTGTGACCTGATTGACAGGCTAAACTCCACCCAAATCTTCTTTCAGGTACTATTTTGGCACAAAAAAACTGTCACACCCTATAACAGTGGCAGAGTCAAGATGATTTATTTCCTTCTCAAAATAAAAAATCTTGGAAAAGAGGTGTCTGGGACTAATAGGACATGTCTAAAAGCACCGGACCTGTCAGCAAGAACCTGGAGGAGAATTCCTTTTGCTTGTAAAGAAGTATGGAATGGACAGGGTGTTATATCTAGTAGTTTGTCAAAACATTAACACTCATATCCTTGCTTTATCTCAGATTTAGAGAAATAGCAGGAACCTTAGAAGCAGCACTGACAGACGTACTAGAAGACGCTCCAGGTAACTTGCTTGAAGTGACAAATTATGAGATGTGACTAAATGAGTTAATTAAGCTCATCATATTATCTATACCTCCATAACCCAGGGGCACGTTCATGCTCAACATTTTCCTAGCATATAGAGTAAGGATTTAAAGACACTCAGATTAACACCTTTTCTTTAAGAGGTGAACAGAACCCTTTTTTGTTGTTTATAGAGATTTCTTGCCTAATAGGTACTATAAAACATCTTGCTTTATAAAGATGGTAAATAGATATGAAGCAGAGTGTATTTCATCCCTGACATATATATAGTGTGTGTGTGTGTCAACAGCAAATAGCCCACAAAATGCTCAAGTAGTCCACCTTTTTTTATAACAAAATGTCTACTGCCTGATTTCATCTGAGGCTGAGACTAGTCTGTATGGTAAAGGACACGCATGTACCTTTTTCTCCCCCCAAAATGACTTTCAGTTGGACCCTGGACCCTAAGCTTCCAGAATCCAAGGTCTAGGCCTCAAGTGGTGGACATGTAACAGACTTAGCACACACATATCCACACCCTCATTGCCATCTTTCATTTTGCATCATGTTATACAAGGGGGTACTTCCCCACCAAAAAAAAAGCAACAGGAAAAGCCCCACTGGGCAGCGATTTCAGAGTACACATTTTTCCCACTAGGGAAGCATCCAGCAACGTGCTCTGAGTTAGTGCACCCAGTGGTGTCACAGTGAATTTTTTCATAAAAGCGTTTCACTCAAACCTCGTTTTTGTGATGGCTAATTTAAGAGAACAGCAAGAAGCTGTGAAATTTGGTTTCCTGCTTGGGAAAGATGCCACAGAAACTGTTGTGATGTTGAACACAGCTTACATGGACAGTGTTGTGGAAAAACTCAAAAGTATGGGTGCTTTTCTCATTTCAAGAAAGATGAAATCTCAGTTGATGACAAACCTTGTTCTGGATGCCCATCAGCTTTCCAAATGGGCGAAAATGGTGACTCATGGTGCATTTGGAATTCGTCCCACCACGTCAGATTGTTAATCAAGCTTTCAATTTAGAGGTTCTGAAAAGATAGAGTAACGTTGTACAACAAAAAAAGGCCTGATTTGTGGCAGACGGGACTAGTTTTGCCACCACGACAATGTACCTACTCACGCAGCCATCTCAGTGCACCAGTTTTGGCCAAAAAACAGCACGCCTCTCTTTTCCCACACAACCTGATTCACCTGACATTGCTCGCTGTGACTCCTTTTGTTTCCACTAATGCAGAGGGACATGAAAGGACAGCAATTTGCAACGTAGAAGAGGTGAAGAAAAAAACAAGGAAGGTGTTGTCAGCCATCCAAGCTGATGAGTTTGAAAAATGTTTCCAGAATGGAATCACAGATTTGACCAATGTATTAAGTGTAATGGAGAGTACTTTGAAGGTGATAGGGGGTTTTTTGTAAAAAAAAAAAAATTTTAATGCCACTCTGGCTGCACTGTGCTCTCTCAGAGCTCCGGGCTCCTCCTAAGCTAGCGCCGCCACTGTCTCCCTTCAGCCACCATCATGATCATCTCCCGGGACCTCATCAGCCGTGTTGAGATGTTCTCCGACATCTGCAAGATCCGGGAAATTGCAGGCGGGCTGTGTCTGGAAGTGGAGGGGAAGACGGTCAGTAGGACCGAAGGTAACATCAATGCCTCCCTCATTGGTGGTAACGCCTCAGCTGAAGGCCCTGATGGCGATGGGACAGAAAGCACAATGGTCACTGGTGTTGATAGTGTCATGATCCATCACTTGCAGGAGACCAGCTTCACAAAAGAAGCCTACAAGAAGTACATCAAAGACTACATGAAATCAATCAAAAGCAAACTTGAACAGCAGAAACCAGAGAGAGTAAAGCCTTTTATGACAGGGGCTGCAGAACAAATCAAGAACATCCTTGCAAATTTCAAAAAGTACCAGTTCTTTCTTGGTGAGAACATGAATCCAGATGGCACGGTGGCTCTGCTGGACTACCGTGAGGATGGTGTGACCCGTATATGATCTTCTTTCAGGACGGCTTAGAGATGGAGACATGTTAACACGGCGGGCAACTCAGGACCAGTGCCTCGCATCCTAACCGGCTGCTGTGCATCCACACGACACCAGGACTGAGACAGACGGAACTGATGACATCGTGAGCGCTTCATTTACTTTTGACCTGGATTTATTTGGAGCGGAGGCTTTTTTTTTTTTTAAAGGAAAAAAAACGTGTAGGTTGTCTAAAAATAAAATGCATGTAAACTCACTTGAGAATGCCTCCTGGTTGGCAATCGGTAAACTAAATTCACCTTGCAGCGCTCCTGAAGAAGCCAGAGCCACGTGTAGGCTGACCGCTGCCGCGTGAGGCTGTCTCTAGAGGTCTGCTACAGCCAAACTACAGGGATCCGAATAGAGACAAGAATCCAAAGGCTTAATTTTGAGTTTAAATAAAGGGAGTGACCATGTTTTTAGCGGTGCCAGCATCTGAAGTGGATCCTTAAGCATTTCATCACCTGAAAATGGAAGAGATTATCAAAAGAATAAAGAGACTAATACAATTGGGGGGGAAATTTTATTCCTTGGTTTGGGGGGGGAAATCCATGTTTTTTGGGGGGTGCCCTCTCGTATTCGTTCCTGATGACCCCTTAGATGATGTATGACTATAGTAATAGCTACATATAGTCACTAGGTTCCTTGCCTTAAATTCCTGCTCTCTTTTGTGCAACTAAGCTGTCACATCTTCACTGCACTATTTTAGCTTCAGAGTTAGTTTCTTTGCCAAAACCGGGCATTTTGCCTTCCTTTATGTAAATAATAAGTATGTAGTTGTGGAGAAAGAGAGGACTCTACAAATGAAATAGGTCAAGTTTAAAACTAAAGTTTAAGTCTTTACAAGCTACTGCCACTCCACTGTGTATTTGTTTATTTGGTATGAAATACCTGTTTGCACTCTTGCACCCAGGTTATTTCTGAATGGTCTAATGGTTTAATTGTTATCTAGACGTTTGGGAGGTGATACGTGTAAAATGATTATATTTAGTTAATGAGCTGTGGCATTTGGTCATCCACATTACCTCCACTTAAGAATGCTGCTTTCTGAACTCTAGACTCTGAAGTATACATTGAAAATATTAGATTTTGCACATCTTTGACTTAACTTGATTGAGGTTCCTTCAATGTCTTTTTTTCCCCTTTAGCTGGAAGTTCGTATTGCCTGTTGGCTTCTGACAGAACATGGAACAGCCTTAGAAAATGTTGGTCAGATGAGATGTTTTTACCCTTGCTAGTGCACCGTCTGTGGAAGCTCACACTTCAGATCTTAGCCCGGTACTCCATCTTTGTCAAGGAGGTAATGGCTGGCTGTTGACTGAGGGCCTAGCAGGCTGTAGGGCGCAGTGGAATTTAGCATCCGTCCTCCCTCCTTTGCCATCAAGTTGCTAAGAATGGTCTTCAGAGACGATCCTGGTCATTGAAGCAGTTGTTGAAGACCGCTGTGTAATTTCTGGGACAGAGTGGGATAGAGAGATTTTTCATTTAGTCCTGTGCCTGCTACGTCTTTTATTCTTGCTAGCCAACAACTTTTATAATCTCTCTCTGAATTACTTTGACTTGAATATAATATATTATGTTTTATTTTACATTCTTTTCTTGATGCTATGTACTGTCTTTGTTTTCCCCCCTATAACATGTTATGCAAGGAAGACGTTGTTGTTTATACAATGAAATGTGTGAGAATCAGGGCTGCCTTATTTTTCCGGGTCTTTAAGGTTTTCCACCTTTGACAGTGCAGTGTTAGCTCTTTTCTGTTCTCATTCTAGTGGGAAGTATTTTAGTTTTCCTTCTCTGGCAGGTTTCTTCTTTAACAGCTTCCGCGGGTTTTGCTGTTTTATTTGAAGCAAAATGAGATTTAGAGGGTTTTTTTTAACCTTTGCTAATTCAAATTATAAATGTATTGATTAAACTTAGCAATTATTTGCCTCATATGGTTAATATTTTTTAACTTGTGATATACCAGAAATTCACTTTCCTTGGGTTTTGGAATTTACTTAGTTATTATTTACCTGTTAGTATTTAATCACCAGAAATGGGACTTGAGTTACAGTAGGATAAATGTGCATGGGGTTGTAATTTGTTTTGATTTCTTTCATAGTCCTTCAGACCTGTTTGTAAAGAAATAGTATGTATTCTTTAATGATTGGAGTCTTTTCTCAGCTTTTACTCAGGCCCATCTCTAATACGAGTACCAGAGATACTAAAAAATCTTTGGTTATTGGTAGCAAAGACCCTTCCATCGCTACCCAGGGAACTAATGACGATCAAGGAAGTGGTCCTTCTGAAACAAAGCCTATGGTTTCCATTTCCAGTACTCAGCTGGTGTATGTGGTCGCAGACCTAAACAAGCTTCAGGAGCAGGTAAGCAAGTGACCCAGAGAGTTCTGAGTAGAAGGTTCATTGTTTACACCAAAGGTTCACTGTCATTTCTTTTGTGCACAAAAGATTATGGGCATGATTGGGGTTAGTTTTATAGGGCCTAAGGGTAACCTCAAGAGAAGACATCTTCTTTATCACCCCTTCTAGGTATTTCTTTCTCTCTCTCCACAGCAGACAGTCTCCACATAAGATAACTACAAATTCTCTACTTTTTGGCATATGTGTATGCCCTAGTATTTCACAAAACTGTAGCCTCGGCTTCCTTTTTAGTAGTGATATAACGTGCTCAGAGGAGCTCTTTTGGTGGAGTAGGTTGGGTTGTTAACTGCAAATCCAGCAGTTCAAATTCATTAACCACTCTGTTGGAAAAAGATGGGACTCTTTACTCCAATAAGAGTTACAATCTTAGAACACCATAAGGCAGTTGTACCCTTTTCTGTAGGATCACTGAGTTGGAATTGACTCGGTAGCAGCGAGGTGTTTTTTGTTCTGTTTTGTTTTAATGTGCTCAGAGGTACGTCATGACCTGGTAGTTTTCCTTTAGGGTAGTCTTTGCAAGCACGCTCCTTGGTGGGCTGAGTTTTATTTCTGCCCCTGCGTCAATGCTGACTCAGTGCAACTCCAGGCACATGTTACCATCCAATCATCAGCTGTACTTTGAAATTGTTAAAATATTTAAAATTTCTGCCTTTTTCTAACATATGGAGGCTGCGGTTTTTGTGAGCCCCTTTCGTCCTTCATCTAACTGTTCCTGTATGGCCTTGATTTTCTTCCCTCTTCCTTTGCTCCAGATGGAGAGAGACCACAAGTTACACATCCATTTTTTTATTTTAACATAAATTTATGGGTTAAATTTGCTTTTAAGTCCTCTGATATGCCCTTCTGCCTCAGGTGTAAACATTTAAACAAGTATAATTTTATACTTTGAACAAGTATGTGACCTTGATTGCGAGGGGGGTTTTTTTTGGTATTATGAAGATGTACCAAATAAAAAAGGTTTCTGTTTATTCTTGGTGCCTGTTGCTAGCCATTAAACCTTGCTGTTTACCATCTTCTTAAATCATTTTAGAACAGTGGAAAAATCAAGACTATTGCTATTCTCTGAAGAAAATTATTGAAAGTGCCATCTTCAGTTTATCATTCGTTAAAAAGCTTTAAAGTTTATAGCTGCAAATAGAATTACCACTTTGATTTATAAAGGGCAACTAAATATGTAAAACATTTATTTATTTCAGCTTCCAGAACTTTTGGAAACAATCAAACCAAAGCTTGAAATGGTTGGCTTTAAAAATTTTTCTTCTATCTCAGGTAAAATGGAATCTTTAGACTCAACAGTTCTTTGAATAACAAAAAATTTTTTTTCAGAGACTGTGGGAGCTATTTACTGTGTATACTCGAGTATAAACTGAGTTTTTTCAGCACATTTTAAATGCAGTTTTTGTGGTAAAATTAGGTGTCTCGACTGATATCCGGGTTGGCTTATACTCAAGTATATGCGGTAAATTGATGTGTTCTTTTAGTTGTAAATCTCTGGCTACCCTGTTTCCCCGAAAATAGGACAGTGTCTTATATTAATTTTTGTTCCTAAAGATGCGCTAGGTCTTATTTTCAGGGGATGTCTTATTTTTCCATGAAGAGGAATACGGTAGACATTTATTGTTGAACAAAAAAAAAAAGGGAAATTTATTACCTGTATACGGTACAGTAGTAGTTGTCATCACAAACCATCATAACCAGACAAACTGTGAATCTACAGTATCAAGAATTTCTTGTTACTACCATTATTTCCATGTACAACAATCTATGATACATTTACTCATAATCTATGGTACATTTACTCACACTTCTGAGCTGCGCGGCGGCACCCGCTGCTCCGGTCCAGAGTTACAGTAGCTTCGGGGGGCCTTATGTTCGGGGAGGTCTTATTTTTGGGGGATGCCTTATATTTCAGTGAGAGGCAAAACTGAAAGTAGGTCTTATTTTCTGGGGATGTCTTACTTTCGGGGAAACATGGTATATTTATATTCTATTCTTCCTTAAATGAGACCTCAAGTTTAATTCTAACAATTTGATTGGTTGATTGATTGACTGATTGTAGCATGCGCTCTAAAGTATTGGCAGTGTTTAAGGTAGAATTTACATCGCTACCTGAAGAAACTAAAACAATCTGTTTATCTCAACAGCAGCCCTGGAGGACTCCCAGCTTTCTTTGTCAGCCTGTCTGCCTGCCTTAGGTAACAAGATTATCCAAGAGCTCAGTGATTCTTGTTTTAGTTACCTGAAAAGTGCTCTAGAAGTTCCAAGGCTTTATCGAAGAACCAATAAGGTAGGTGCAAGTGCCAGTTGCTGGAGGAAAGGGGTTTTTTTGTTTTTTTTTAGTTAAAGAAGTACACATTACATAAGGCCAAGATAAAACAGAAGGGGGAGAGGTTTGTTGGGGTAGAAACAGAAATGGGTTCCCAGGAATAACCTGAGATAGACTTTATCTTATACAAAGAAATTGTATATTTTTACAGAGAAATGAATGTCTCCATCTCTACAGGTAGATGGTCAGACATAACCTTTGGACAAACATAACTTAAGTAGTTGAACTTGAATACTGTGAACATGTTCTGGATTCTCTTGGCCTTAAGAAGAACCTTTTGCCAAAGAAAGTGTTTTAATAGAATATTTTTAAAGTCCAGTACTTTTTTTGCTTCATGTCTTATATTTTCAAAATTTACATTTACTTTGCTACTTTCATATTATTGCTGGAAGTACCTGCATTTTAATGTTTGTTTTTTTTTAAATAAAATTTGAAGGGCCACATGTAAAGACATTGGAGCACATGCAGGTGTTCACAGTCATCTGTTTTCACATATTGAATAGTGACTTGGGGAGTCTATTTTTACCAGTTTTAAAATATACCTTCTTGAGCTCTAATTTTCATGCTTCTCTCATTTCATCCGTGTTAGAGCTCACATAATTCAGCCTCCCAAGTTTTTTCTCAGTTATATAATTTAAACTTAAACTATTTATTATTTTAAAAGATACTCTCAGAAACCAGTTTCTTAGTAGTTTCCAGGGTGGCGGGAGGAGAAGGAAGCTTAGCCGAGGGAGCATTGCATTTCTGATGGTGGTGGTGGAACAACTGGGAAAGATAAAGTAGGGATGGTTTCACAACACGATGGAACAAAACCAGTATCATTGAATCATACGTGTGAAAACAAAGTGGCTAAAGTTTACCACAATAAAACAATGAAGAAACAGTTTTGAAATAAAGCTCCATTATTTTCCTGACTCAAATTGCCGCTCGGGAACGGTAGAAATCTCTTAAGACATTGTGCCCTTTTGGGATAATAAGCATATCTTCTTTGGGACTAGCCTTTCTGTTTATTTGCTACTGTCAGAACCTTATCTACTGCTTGCATTACTCTTTCCATCTAGTAGACCACTTGAATGCAATCATTCATTCTTCGGTGGCAAGCTAAGATTATAGCCAAGCTCTTTGCTTACTGTTTCTTCTTTTCCTATAAAAACCTGGTCATGTGGCAGAATTGTTATGTCTACCTTGTTAAATAATTTGCTCTCTCTGGTCTCATTTGGAAGCTGGGGAGAGACACCTATTTTATATTTCAGAAAACATGTTTCTTTTAGTAATATACCAAGTTTCCCTTTCTATTTAATAGGATATGATAATAATACATTCCATAAGTGCTTGAATTGAGTCAGACACCATGCTAAAACACTTCACATTCATTCACATCACATCTTATGACACGGGTACCAGTACCCTTAGTGTGCAGTACCTAATAAGCAAAGTAAGCATGAGCTTGCTTGTGCTTACTTACTAATCAGTAAGTGAACAATTTCATTTTTTTTTTTTAACATATCCAAGACTGTTTCTAGGTATGGCTGGCATCTACCTCTCTCTCAACCCAATAGCACCGTCCTACAGAATCAAAGTCTCTTTTTAAATTGACTATCCCTGACAAGGACTGAACACCTTTAGGCTTACGTGGGTTTACTTGATAGAAACTTGATGTGGTGAAAAACCTCACTTATTGGGTTATCCACCCTACCTTACTTACAGTTGAACAAACCAGATCCTAGACCCTTGCTTCTGGAATGTAGCCATTGACCAGCAGTACCACCACCTGGTGGAAGTGCAGAGCTCAAGGCCCCACCTACTGAAATAGAACTTGAACTTAGTGAGACGCCCAGGTGATTTGTATGGACATCAGTATATCACTACACTGTAAATGGCTGAGTGAGCACCTGAATCCAGTCTGATTCCAAACATTGTCCTCACTTGCTTGGTCTTCTAGACTCTCTTCTGTAGGTATCATTCGATGGTATCATTTGTTAACTTTCTTAAGGCAGGAGACAGAGTCTATACACTTCTCAAGACTGGTATGTTAATAGTATCCTTTTGAACTTGAGATTGAGCTAACTGTTATTCTTTTCCCTTTTTTCCTGTGCATATTTAACCACTACCAACATTATTACAGGAAGTACCAACTAAAGCTTCCTCCTATGTGGACAGTGCTTTGAAACCATTTTATCACCTTCAGAGCGAACACAAGAATAAGCTTGCGCAAGCAATAATTCAACAGTGGTTAGAAGGAGCACTTTCTGAGAGCACTCATAAGTAAGTACCTTCAAAATGCAACATGTGGAACTTTCTTAGGAGAGTCTAAGTTTAGCACCCTACGGCAGAGGGTACTAAACGGTCAGGTTTTGGGTAGATGAGGTCACAGGATGCACGTTGGAGGATAGGCACTCAATGGCTGACTCAGTCTGCATTGCAGACTGAGGGGTACTTTCTTCCTTCTCCCACATGCAAGGCTCTTTGGGCCATCTTATAGCTGGCAACTGCAACCAAGCTGGTCTGCTTACCTGTCCCTCATCTCCCAGGTAACACACTGCCCCACAAGTCTGCCCTCCTTCTTGAGTGGAGGTGCATCCCACTCTCCCTCTATGCGTGCCCCTCTCATTGCTCTAACACCATGCCCACTCACATCCAGGTCACTCACACCGTTTCCTTTCATGCTCCTTCCTTCTCCCCGCAGCTCTGCCTGTCTAAAAATAGCTGTCAGCATGCAGATAATCAAGGAGTTAGACTGGGACACCCTGTAATCAGAGAAGAGGAAAGCATACATTTTGAAGTAATTACAACTGATAAAGAATCAAGTGTCTAAAACCCTTAAAAGTATGAAGAAGTCTTCAGAATCGCTGTGGTTGAATGTCTATTCATTTCTAATTAAATCTACATTTCCCCAATTGATATTTTTAAAAATTGAGTTTTAATTTTGATTAATTATTAATTTCTTAATAGCCTTTTTTTATTTCAGTTATTTAGAGTTAAACAGCCATTTGTGGGCTAATTTAGAACATAGCAACAATTTATGGTTTTATGAGCTCTGTGTCTCAAGAACAAAATTGATTTGTAAACAGTTTTGAAATAAAAATTATGATTTAGAAATTTAATGGTGCTTAAGTGTATTTTGAAGGCCTCGTTTTATTTTGTTTTAAAATAAGATTAGCTATTCCTAGAACTGTTATAAATGAATTTGTTACTTTCATCTGGAGAGTGAATTATGCATGTTCACCCTGAATATATGATAGACAATTTCGTTTCCTCTTAGCGTTAATGATTAAAATTTTTTATTTTTAATTATTTTATTGGGGGGCTCGTACAATTCTTATCACAATCCATACATACATCCATTGTGCCAAGCATATATGTACATTCGCTGCCCTCATCATTCTCAAAACATTTGCCTTCTACTCTAGCCCCTGATATCAGCTGCCTATTTCCCCCTCCCTCCCCACTCCCTCCTCCCTCATGAACCCTCCATAATTCACAAATCATTATTGTTTTGTCACGTTACACTGTCCAATGTCTCCCCCGCCCTCTTCTCTGCTGTCCATCCCCCAGGGAGGAGACCATACAAGTAGATTCATACGATGACAAGTAGATTGTTGTCATCGGTTCCCCCTTTCTATCTCACATTCCCTCCACCCTCCAGGCCTCGCCCCTCTCACCCCTAGTCCTGAAGGAGTCATCTGTCCTGGATTCCTTGTGTTTCCAGCTGCTATCTGTACCAATGGACATCCTCTGGTCTAGCCAGATTTGTAAGGCAGAATTAGGATCATGATAGCGGTGGGGAGGAAGCATTCAAGAACTAGAGGAAAGTTATATGTTTCATCGTTGCTACCCTGCACCCTGATTGGTTCATCTCCTCCCCACAGCCCTTCAGTAAGGGGGTATCCCGTTGCCTACTGATGGGCTGTGAGTCGCCACTCTGCACTCACCCACCTTTACAATGATATGATTTTTGGTTATTTGATGCTTGATACCTGATCCCTTCAAAAGCTCGTGGTCACACAGGCTGGTGTGCTTCTTCCGTGTGGGTTTTGTTGTTTCTGAGCTAGTTGGCCGCTTGTTTATCTTCAATCCTTTAAGACCCCAGACGCTATATCTTTTGATAGCCGGGCACCATCAGCTTTCTTCACCACATTTGCTTATGCACACGTTTGTCTTCAATGATCATATCAGGAAGGTGGGGATGATTAAAATTTTAAACAAAACCTATGTGCCTGCCTCTTCCATTGTGAGTGACTTAGTACTAGAATGTTACAAGAACTTATTGTTCTCACAATCATAAGAAACATTAAATATTTACCATGGCTAAATGCTTTATCAGAAATCCATTTTTATCTTTAAAATCTTTTTTCCACAAATCCAATTTCTATATTTTATGTTATATGAAAACACTAGTAACTGTGTTTTTGTTCTCAAGATACTATGGAACTGTGTCCGATGTACTGAGCTCTGTGAAGAAAATGGAGGAGAGCCTGAAAAGACTGAAACAAGCTCGGAAAACCACCCCTGCCAACTCTGCAGGCTCCAGTGGTGGTATGACCGATGACGACAAGATCAGACTGCAGCTGGCCCTAGACATCGAGTACTTAGGAGAGCAGGTAGTAGTCAGCAGCATCGCGCCCAGCAAATCTGAAAAGGAATTAGGAGGGCTAGGCCATGGCCTGGGGTTCACAGGAGCCAAGGTGCTGTCAAGGTACTTAGAGAGTTGATTTCTCAAAGGTTAAGAAGAAAAGAGTCAGAGCTCCAAAGTACTTGGAAAGTCAGGAATTTATGCCTAGGAATTGTGAGAAAATTTCTGAAATCTCATAAACTGAGATTCACAAAAACAAGAGTGGTTGTCCTTTTTGTCCACTGCCTTACAAGGTATCCGAGACAGAATTAGTGATAAGCCAATGTCTTTTGAAATATTTGTTGGTTTGTCATCAAAGAACTAGACAAACCTTACCTCTGCTGTGCTACACATAACCTCTTTGCATCTCTGGCTGGATTTTGTAGACTTTCAGTAAATTTCAGAATTACTGTACGTGGATGCGTATTGGTGTATAAGTGGATATCACAAAGGAACCAGAGAACGTGCACTTGCATTTTCATTAAGTTACTTACTTCCTTGTAGTTTTGTAAAACGTTCCAAAGAGGGGCAGGTTTTTCCATAGAGCTGTAGATCCTTAAGGAAAGGACTGTTTTTTGTTTTTCCAGAGAGGAAGAAATGGAATTATAAAATTTCCACCATAAAATACTTGGTTTTCTAGCTGACTGAAATAGTTCATTGTATACCTCAGGGCCCTCACTGAAAATCTGATTTTTTTTCTGCTTTGAGGTAAATTTAGAGAGCTACCTGGCAAAACTCAGTTGCCGGATTTCTCTTATTTCATTGGAGAAATTTAAAAGTTTTTTACAAGGCAGAAAGGTAGTTATAGAAACTCAATAATAAAAAGAAAAAGCAGGAGGGAGGGAAGAAAGGAGAAGAAAAAGACCAGGCACTGCCATAATCCCAGTCCCTAGAACTAACCACAGAACTTTAACAAACACTTGGTATCTGTCCATCCGGATCTTTTTGTGTGTGTGTGTGTGTGTGTGTGTGTGTGTGTGTGTGTGTGTGTGTGTGTTTTCCTTTTAAACAAAAATAGAAACATACTGTGCCATGTCTTAATTATCAAAATAATGCACAATAGTGCTGTGCCAGTGCTTTCAATTAATCAGATTCTAAGAAGGGTTCTAATGATATGTTAAGAAATAAAGCGCTCAGATTAATACTTTTTTGTTTTAAATTGTCTAAAAATAGTTCACTTAGTTGAATTTTCTTTTCTAACATTTTTTAAGACCACAACAAAGGCTTTTTTTTCTGGTAAATGTTTAATTTGTTAGACTGAGATAAATTAATTCCCTGGCAACTTGAATAAGAAGTGTTTGACCAAAAAATATATATTAGTGTTTTACAGTAAGTAAATCTTTTTCTCTGTTGGGAAATATGTCCTTCTAATGTTTAGGGAACTGTCTTTTTTCTGGTTTAGAGGCAGGAAGTGGGGATCTTGTTGTGTTTTTTAATAGTATCTTTTTTCACGTTCAATTTAGATCGTGGTAATGTAATTTATTCTCTCGTGAACTTTGCAGATACAAAAGATGGGCCTGCAAACGAGCAGCATAAGAAGTTTTCCAGCTCTCGTAGAGCTGGTTGTTGCAGCTAAGGACCAGGCAACAGCAGACCAGCCTTAAGCGTCTTGGAAGAACTTGGAAGAAAGTGACTGTTCTCTTACCAAGTCTGTGTAGCAAAGACGTGCTTCCACTGTATTTCCAGCAACATGGCAATGCATCTTCTGGGTCTTCTTTCACCCAAAAAGAAGAGCACTATCCTTTTTCCATTGTATGGAAGATAGTTTTTAAAACATTGGGGACTTTCTACTGTAGTATTCAAAGGAAATTATTTTATTTTTACTGTAAATCTGAGTGTGGAAGAGCCCATTTCTAAAGTATGGTTAAAGTAAATATGAATGTAAAAAAATTGTCTCCCAACCTTGCAGGTTGAAGAAATTACTGCAGTGGAGTTATCATAGCTTACTGTATGGAAGCATCCTTCTCTGAAATGACATTAACTGTCATAAAGTATTGACTTTCTGAAAGAGGTTATGAAGTGGGAATCCCTGCCAACACTGTGTTTAAGAACAGTGCTTCTGATGAGACTCATTCCCCATACCTCTCGAGCTACAGCATTAGGAAAAAGTATATTTCGTGAATAAAAGAAGTGTCTACCAAGAGTTGTGTGCACCTTATGTTTGCAAATCCAGCACAAGTTAAATACTACTCATTACTTGTCCCGTATAACAACAGATTTTTTTTTTTACAGTAAAATGCCTCTTTTTAGTAACTTGTGAAGGAATTTGTCCATTCTAGCCCCATGGTGGGATTCCTAATTAGAAAAGTTAGAAACACTACAGAGGTACTAAAAGGTTCTGTTTGGCTTGTTTCAGTTTGATGATTCGATTAAGGCATTTTTATTCTAGTTCTACCTCTACATTTCTTTGCATCTCAGCCTCTTATTCTTTGTTCAAGCTTAGCTATACAGAGACAAAGGAAGAAAAGTCAGCAGTAGGGCATTAGAATGTAGATTCAGTAGAATTTATCAATTAATTTATAGAATCACAAGTTACCAGCTCAAATTGCCTTCTTTTCTCATACCTTCAGAGCACATCCCCAATATCATCTGTCAGCTCTGACAATGGGCAGGCCCCATACAATCTAAATAAAGTATCCAATAAAACTATGTCTTACTTGGAATTTCTTTTTAATTCTCATTTGATTTGAACATTTGCTGATTATAAGCAGAAGCTTCAAAATACTTGCGGAAAAGTACATTCTCTTTCAATTCCATTTTCTCACAAACTTTTGAAGCCCCCTCATACTATATGCCAAGTTTGCTGCTTTGTTAGATATGAATAACTATCACAAATCACCACCACCTGTCCGTCAGTTTGTTATACTGTGATGCTGGAAGCTATGTCACTGGTATTTCAAATGCTAGCAGGGTCACCCGGACTGAACAAGTTTCAACAGAGCTTCCAGGCCAAGAACAATGAAGAAAGAATCCGCTACCAACTTTGGAAGTAGCATCTGAAATTGCTGTGGATAGTAGAGAAACATTGTCAGATGCCAAAGGCCTAATGAATGGAAGCAGAACATTGCCAGAGGAAGGGCCCCACAGGCTCGAAAGCAACTGAGGAGGAGCTGCCTTCTCAAAGGAGAATCAACCATGGTGACTTGCATGGAGTAAAGCCTTCCAGATCTTCATTTGCTGATAGGGTAAACTCAAAATAAGAAACTACTGCAAACATCAATTACTCAGAACTTGCAATGTACAACATGTGAATCTAGGAAAATTGGAAGTCATCAAAAATGAAATGCATAAAGATTTATATCCTGGGTGTTGGTGAGTTGAAATGGCCTGATATGTGACCACTTTGAATCAAAAAATTTTATGACTTACTATGCCAGAAATGACACAATCAAGAGGTATGTATGGGGTTGCATTCACTGTCAAGGAGGACATTTCAGAATCTGTCTTGAAGTACAATGCTCTCTAATAGGATTCCCTGTACCCACCTTCAAGGAAATCCAATCAATACAACTATTATTCAAATTTATGAGCCAACCAGAAAACCTAGTGATGAAGAAATCAAAGAATTCTATGAACGTCTTTAGTCTGAAATTGACCAAGTAGGAAAGGGTGGTAGAAAAGTAGCTGGAGACTCATTTCCTCTCCACTTAAACCCCCGGCATTAGGTCCTCATTTTTCCCCTCCCTCCCCGCTCCCCTCTCCCTCATAAGCCCTTGATAATTTATAAATTGTTATTTTGTCATATCTTGCCCTGTCCGACGTCTCCCTTCACCCACTTTTCGGTTGTCCGTCCCCCAGGGAGGAGGTCACATATAGTTCCTTGTAATCGGTTCCCTCTTTCTTACCCACTCTCCTATACTCCCAGTATCGCCACTCACACCACTGGTCCTGAAGGGATCATCCGCCCTGGATTCCCTGTGTTTCCAGTTCCTATGTGTACCAGTGTACATCCTCTGGTCTAACCAGACTTGCAAGGTCGAATTTGAGTCACGATAGTGGGAGCGGGGAGGAAACATTTAGGAACTAGAGGAAAGTTGTATTTTTCATCGTTGTTACATTGCACCCTGACTGGCTCGTCTCCTACCCGGGACCCCTCTTCAACGGGACGGGATAGAATTTTACAAGAACATTTTGTTCCTAACAAATGCTCTTTCAACAACACAATGCAACTGCACGCATGGATTCCACAGGATGGAATACACAGAAATCAAGTGGACTACATTTCTGGGGAAAGATGATGGAGAAGTTCAGGATCAGCAGCTAAAAGCAGGCCAGGAAGTAACTGTAACAGACCATCAGTTACTCATAGGTAAGTCCATGTAAAAACAAGCCCACGAGAAAATACAACGTAGAGTCTATCTCTCCTGGATTTCGAGAACATCTCAAGGAGAGATGCTTCATTGACCACTAATGACAAGACCTAGTAAGCTGGTCATCAAAGACACCAGGAATCAAGGAAGAAAGCAAAAGGTCATTAAAAAGACAAGAAAGGAGGGATCAAAGTGGATGTCAGAAGACCTGAAACTTACTCCTCATCAAAGCACATGGAAGAAATTAAGAAGTGAAAGAGCTGAGCATCCCATGTTCATTGCAGCGCAGTTCATAATAGCAAGAAACAGGAGACACCCTAAATTCCCATCAGAAGAGTGTATTTTAAAATGCTGGTATATACACACAATGGAATACTACACATCCCTATAAAACTATGGAACGCCTCAAGCCATGGAGGGATCTGGACGACATTATGCTGAGTGAAGTTAAGCCCGAAAGGACAAATGCTGTATGAGGCGACTGTGGTAGGAACATGCAGCAGAACGGGCACAAGTTCAGGCTTGTAGGGCATCCAGTCTTCTGGCTGCGGGGCCAGAGAGCCTAACCAGTGCCAATGAAACATACATGATCTGCTCTAGGTAAGTATAATGTAGGTGACTTGCCCAGAGGGTGCCTCAGGTCAGCTGGGATCAAATGGGAAAGATGTCTGCTAAGTGGTTGCCATGTGGATCTGTAGTGAGGTCCCTGGAGAGGGAGGCAGACCTGTCAGAGGGATGAGGCTTCTTTATGGGAGGGGCAGTGCAGGAGAGGGAAGGGTCACATTTGGGAGAGCATAGGTGCATGTCTGTTGTGAGAGGAGTGAGGATGCTTTTGGGGACACTTAGTGGGGAGTGTTTTGGTGGTGTGCAGCAGGTAGGCAACATTGAACTTGGACATATAGAGGTATCCCAGGAATCCAGGCCAGGGATTCTGGGACACAATCCTGGATCTTTGGGGTACTGTGGCATGCTCTAAAGGCTTCATTGGTGAGACCCCATGAGGAAACTGCACTGCATGAACTTAAGTCAGAAAATATATGGTGTCTGAGGAAGCAAAAGATAGCTGTACCAAGAGTGCTGTACTGTTTATTGGCAGACAAACAAGGCCTTGCTACATCAAAACCATATACATGCTGTATTAAGATATGAATTATTCTGACAATCCTGGGATGTACACTATTTTGTTCATGCTTGTTCATATTAGGGTGTATCTCAGAGGTTCTATGCCATTTGGGGTCATCCTCTTGAAGTTGTGTTATTTCTCTTTTCAGTAAATGAAACCCAGATTGATGAGCCTATAGGGACAGCAAATAGAACAAGGGTTTGGCGGGGGAGGGCATTATGGTGGGGGTAAGGGAGATAAAAGGGAGAGGATATCAAGAAGTCCAGGAAGGAAAAGTATGATTGGAGAGTGATTATGGAAGCAGTTGTACAATTCTTTACATGATTGAACTATGGAATGATATGACATATGTATTAACTCCCAAGTAACAAAAAAAAAAAAGGCATAGATGCAGAAATGGGTTTGGGGCTCACGCTAAATCCTAGCTCCAACTTAAGAACAATTAGTTCTTACATCTTGGCCCTGCTCAATACTCACCCTCAGGAAGGGAACACAGAAGATACAGGTGCTAGCACAAATTGTGGCGAAGAATTCAGATGGTGCCCGGCTTTCAGATAAAATAGGTCTGGGGTCTTAAAGGCTTGTCTCCAAACAAGCAGCCATCTAAATGAGATGTCAACTAAGTCCACATGGAAGAAGCACACCATCCTCAGTCACAGAAGGATTATATGTAATCCATATAATCTGAAGTCAAAGGAGGGACAAGCCTAAATTCTGAGAATCCGAAGTGCAGAAGATGCTGGATGACAGTGGGAGCCCAAGATTCATTTGTGGAACTACATAGGAAATAAGCCTCCTAAGGACTCCCCTTCCATAAAATTGAGGGATGGGAGGAAAGGGGTCACTAAACAGTGCTTGGAAGAGATGAGTATAGAAGATGGAAGGCATAAGATCTGAATTGAACAGTTAAAACTTTGTCAGTAGATTCCCCACTATGATACAGTCTGGACCTGATCTGGTTTCCAAATTTTCCTGTTTTTTCAGCTTGTTTGGTTTGGTTTGGTTTTTATTTGTTCATGTTAGGGTATATCTCAGAGGTATTAGGTCCTTGGAGGTCACCCTCTTGAAGTTGTGTTATGTGCTTTTCCATTTTTCAGTATACGAAACCCAGGACTGACTAACATATGGATAGCTAGTAGAATAAGGGTTTGTGGGGAGGAGGTGCAGGGGTGGTGCTAAAGTAAAAGGGAGCCGATGTCAAGGAGTCCCTGTAGAAAAAGAATGTATGGAAACGTGATTGTGCTAGCAATTGTACCATTCCACTTGACCAGCCTGAACTATGGAATGATATATGTGTTAAATCCCAATTAATACGTTTTTAAAGCTGAATAGAAGATTTCAAAGGACAACTCCAGAAAATAAAGTCAAATATTATAATGAAATACACAGCCC